ATAATTACAGCAGAAGTTATCAACACTTACTATGGTAAAAGTACGAAATGGTCCTCTACAATTATTGTTTATGGAATCAAGTATTAGAAATAGGTCAATAATTTTCTAATTTTCATCATATATTTACTTTGTACTAGTAGAACCATTATTTGAAAATATTTTAATGTCAAAGTCTGCAATTAAAAAATATCCGTTGATACAAAATTGATAAATATAACAGACAGTAATAATGTTTGAGTAGATATATAATATTATTTTTACTAAAAACATCAAGTCGGATAGTTCTTAATTAGGTTTACATAATATTATTATAACTAATAACATAAAAAATAAAAACAATTYACAAGTTACAAATTATATAATATATAATATATATTACTATAGTCGTTTTTCTTTTTATTGAACATAAATTTTAACAATAAACCGAAAAAGATACTTAGCTAAGTTTTACATGAATTCAGTTTAAAAAATAAAAGAAGATTTATATAATATTAATGGCTGAAAAATAAAAGTAAAATTCAATATAATAGTCTATTGGGGTATTATAAATAAAAATTACACTTAGAAACTGTTTTTACATAAAAAAAAAAAGTAAAAAGTAATTAAAAATAATAATAAAAATAAAACAATTACTATTTTGGATAGCGAYAATTAAAAATGTTAGTTGTATAAAATAATATCGCTATTTAATTTACAAAATCAATGATTTACATGTTCGTTTAGTTTAGGTATTTTTAGAACTCTCCTTTGTTACTATTAATTTTATTAATAAAAAAAAAAAATTAATGATAAAATAAAATAAACATAAGATGGCTTTGTCTTTCCATGCACCTAACATTGTCGAACACGCATACACATAATACTACTACTGATAATTAAATCATTGGAAAACATATTGATTTATTTTGGGCCAATAATAAGACAATAATAATTAATGCTATGAATTATTAACAATGATAACAATAATGGACTGAAAACTTAATAAATCACGGATACAGAATAATATYCAGAGAAATTAAAAAACCCACAAATCAATCATCATGTTAAAACATATTACTTGAGTATGCAAAAAAATAATTCACTCGCAACAATTAAAAATAGGCGTTTATACTTTTTTGAGATCAGGGAGGTTGATGAAGAATAATTTAACTTGTGTGAGCAATACACAATTTATTCAATAATATTGATATGCTCAATCATGTCTATGCAGTCTCAGGAGAATGTTTTACCTATTGCATGAGACGACAGAGCTTACCCTAAACAGTGGTTGCTATGTAATTTTCTTAAGATCAACCATAGGTCTACAACAATGTCATCATCAAAAACAATTCAAATAATATTGTAAAAACAATATAACATTGATT